GTTGTGTGTTGTAGTACTATTTTTGATTGAAGGCGTTTTCCGACATTGCCACTTCATGAAACAGTACTTTATAATAGGTGGTAGGTACATGAAAGTGATTAATCACTTGGAATATTAAACGCATCTACTTTTTTCTTTTCGAGGAAAGAAGAAAAGAGGAACTAGATGATGTTTTTCTGGAAAGGGCCCTCCGAGAATAATGCTGATTTTTTTCAATAATCGTGTAGCTGAAGAAAAATACATTCTGTACCTATAATATTGCGGGAACATGACATGAAGTATCTATATGTTACGCCCAATATCCGAATTTTGGCACCAGCTCGAAAATAATGTGTGTAGAACTATACGCTTACTTCCGAAAAACTTCCCAGCCTTGAATTTACTTTTCAACGAATGTTGAGTGTTATGAATACGAAAAATTAGTTTTAAGTAGGTACCTATACAAAGTTCCCCACACCCGAAATTCCACTAACGAACGGCTATTTAACATTTAGAAAATAATCAGAACTATAGGTTCTGTTCATTAATTTGAAAAGAATCATTTGGTCTTTTATGATTTCTAAAATATTGGTCCAATATCAAAATTGATTTTCCTGCCAAAATAAATGTTTGTAAAGCATTTCATAAATTAATGGCGCTTGCCAACATCAGAAACGAATTATTATTAGATTTGTACCAATGTAATCAATGCAAACCAGAAAACAATAGGATATTTTATTACTTCACACTCTGAGTAATAACAAATTTATTTATTATGCATACAAAAGAAGCCTAACCTAATCGACATTTTATTGTTAGATAACGGTAAACATTGGTGACAATACTAGGAACACTGTTTATGAGATTTCTATCCTATTATAGATCCTATAAAATTTTATTATTAAAACCCATTAATGATTATTTGTTCGTCTTGTATAAAAATACTTTCCAAAAGCAAATATTACCAATATGGCTCAAATTAACAATAAATTATCTAACAAGACTATTTTTTATTTAATTAGTAACGGGACGTGTAAAAAATTATTGCTTCAGTTGATAGTCTGAACTTCGTCTTTCTCCTGCGACAACACAAAAGCGACGTCCGCACGACGTTGCCCTAGACAGCTTTGACGCTGGGTGATTACGTTGAGATGACCATAATCTGGTGCACATTGGAGTTTAATTTTTGGGTCGCGTCCTAGGCGTGTAAACGACTTATCAGCCGATGTTGTGCCGGAGTTATTTTGACGACTAGTCCGACTTCGGTTAGTCGTTGGTTGTTATGATTTCACAACTAAGGTGAGTTCGGCTTGGCAAAACGCAGTTGGAGTGGATGAAGAGCAGTTTCATAGTCACGTGATCACAGAGTGAAAAGAGTAAAATGGTTAAGTCGAACGCATCAGGAGCAAGGCGAGCCGCCGACCGCGAGCGCTTGCGCAAAGATAATTTCTAAAAATTCCTAATTATTCCAACGTAGAAAGGAAATAAATGAAATTTAATTGAATTTTTTTTATTCATGTATTTTGTGTTTGTCGTTTTTGAGCCTATTTGTTTTGTGTTGTGATGGAGCAGAAGCTATAGTGGTCGTCAAATTTGCAATTTTTTTCTTATTTGATAGTTCATCTGAAGAAGAGGACGTTTTGGAAAAAGCGGATAACTACGCCGAACTCACGGCTCCATTTATGTCTGATAAATAGTTTCAGCAAAATTTCAGAATCACTGCTACCAGTTTTGAAGATTTGATGAGAAAATGCAATCAGCTGCTTGTAAATGTTCATGTAGGGTTTCCAAAAACTGCCTTTGATAAGGAACTTATGATCGCCATTTTTTTAGATCTATTGCTGAGAGTGTTGGTGTCACAAAGTCAACTTGTTGGGAGATCCTTCACCGCACTTGCAAATTGATTTTAAAAGATAACACGGCCTACAAAGTTATCTGTTGGCCCAATAGAGAAAGGCAGCAGGAAATTTCTAACAGTTTCGCAAGATCTGGATTCCCAGGTAGATATCACTTAGTGATTATAATCGCCTGATATGCCGGATCACATTATTTTTTTGTGTAGTATTCCTAGCCTTTCAACATCATTATGAACATTGAGACTTATTTTTTACATTTTTTGTTTCTGTTTAGTTTAATTATCGGCTGCATTGATGGTAGTCACATAAAAATAACAGCACCTCAAGAATATCCAAATTCATATGTAAATCGGAAAAGTTTCCATGATAGACCAACATAACAGTGAAAGAACAATCATATTCTCAGAATATGCCCTCAAAGTGCTTTTTGGAATGTTCTTTTAGGAATGTTTAATGAATATTCTAAGATTGTTTCGATTGAAATATTCATTTTTGGACGTTCTATTTATGTACTAGGAATGTTGCTTCTATGCACCTACCTGAGAGATTGTGCTAAGACCTACTTTATATAACATTATCTGAATATTGTCATATGAACATTATTATAATGTACCCTAAAAAATGTTTTTTCGGCTAATATCTCTATCAAGTATTAAAAATATACCTACCAAGTTGTGCTGAGAAGTTTATGTAGGTAGGTACCCATGATAAGAATATTTTCATATTGTTCGCCTAATTATCTAAACTACCTACTCACAAATCTTGATTGAACAATTAAACAATAATCCTCTATCTCAGCGGTTCCCAACAGGTGGGTCGCGACCCCTAAGGTGGTCGAATAGGATTTTTAGAGGGGTCGCAATGCCGATATTAATATACAGGGACGCGTTCTGGAGTTATCATCTGGATAAAACCTCGCTGGACACTCTGTATATATTTCTGCATTTGGCAACACGCCTTTGCCTCCGCATCAAAACTCGCGCAGCGTTGCACTAGCCTCACGGGCGAAGCGAAAAGCACAGGTTGTGAGTGTTGTGACACGCATGTTTTTGAACATACCTATGCATAATGGCTGACGCGTCATAAACAGGATTTGTGTAAAATCTAAAAGAGGAAATTGATTATCACCTTCAATTCCTTAAGAATAAAATGCAGCGTTATTTTCTCGAGCTATCTGAACAAAGAGCTGCAGTAGTAAGGAACCCGTTTCATGCCTCGTTATATGTTGCTGACGTTCCTGAGTGCAGGATGAGTTTTGGAGCTGAGGAATGATTCCTCAGCACATGCCATATTGCAGGAAAAACCCTTGCTCGAATTTTGGTGTGTCATGCATAGTTCATATCCTAATATCGCCCTGATTTTTTTCCAAATACTAATACCATTTGCATTTAGATACCTTTGTGAAAGTGGTTTTCCAACTCTTTCGCAAATTAATATAAAAGCCAGAAATAGACTGATAGACTGAACGGACAAGATGACATAAGATTGACTTTGAAAAAACTCAACCAAAAATTTCATCAACATGTTACGCAGATGCGATGCAAACTCAGTCATTTGTTTATTATTTATTAATGGATAGAGGGGGTCGCGACCTTATAAGGAAACCTGCAAGAGGGTTGTGACTAAAGAAAGGTTGGGAACCACTGCTCTATCTAGAACCTACTAAAAATATTATAGGTATATTCTTTTTCGTTTACTTTGTAGGACTTCTAAGAGAGGGAGCCACGCGCTATTGAAGATCTACATCTTGCCTAGCGTTTGAATCTCCTTGGAAACTGTTTCTCTCAGTTGGCGTGCTTACGGCGACGAGAGCATAACAAGCTCGAAACCAGAGCTTTGGTTAAACACTTGTGTTTTCCAGATAAATTTTCCAATAACTCTTTCACTGGCTTCAATATAAAAGGACTGAAAGGAGCATTATTTGGAGGGGAAAATTAACATTCCAAGTATATCCCTGGAACCAAACAAGAATGTTATGTCTAGGATGCATATTGAGAATGATTATGTAGATATATTCTAAGAATATTTCAAGCATATTGGTATAATATTTTTTTGAGGACATAACTATAATGTCATAGATACATTCTTTGAATGTGAGAATATACATTTCAAACATATTGTTAGAATCAAACAGGAATATTCTTTTCAAGATGTACTGAGAATCTCATAGGTATATTCTAGGAATATTCTAATGGTTTCCCAGGAAGTTCTTGGGTATTGCAAACAGTATTTCTACAATCTTTTCTCAGAACATTCTCAGGATATTCGCAATGGTTTTGGCGAACATTCTAGGCACATTCCTTCTAAAAAAAGAACATTCCTATTACATTCTGAGGATGCAATTTTGTTATGTGGGGAAAGCTTACTGATGTGTATGCTGGAGAGGCAGCATCCGTTCATGACTATACAGTGTTTAAACGTTCTGATCTGCATCAAAGAATTTCAAATGGGGAGATTCAATTTTATGATGATTGTCATATGGTTGGCATCTTACCTATAGGGTTTCAACTTTTTTGTTATCAGGATTCAAGAATAATGGACGTCTCACACCAAGAGAGAAAAAATTCAACAAAATACTAGCTAAAGCTCGTGCTACTATTGAAATGGCTTTTGCTTACTTGAAAGGCCGGTTCAGAAGACTAAAATTCCTGCAAACAAAAAGATTAGATTTACCTTCTTTTTAGATTGTAAGTGCTTGTGTGCTTCATAACATATGTATATTAAATGGAGATTTACCAGGAGAAGTTTTGAATTTGTTAGAAGAAATTGAGGAAGAAAGGTTGAATAATTCGCAAGATCGCCAAGATTTTGACCCAGATGAAGAAAACAGAATTGGTTTAATAAAACGAAATAATATCTGCAATGCGCTTCCGCCGCTTCCAATATTACAAAATAGATAAATTAGATAATAGGTATACCTAATATAGCAATTTAAACTGAAAAAAAAAATGCGTTTCATGTCATATAATACAATATTATACTATTTACCATGTAGGTATAAAAGATACAACTAGACGAGATTCCTTAAATTAATTAGGTAAGTAAACAAATAATAAATAATCACATAAATTAACCATTTAGCTAACAGGGTGAGTTTGACAAAAATAAAAATCGTATTTTTCTTTAAAACCATACTTCAAATTAAAACATTTTAACCAAAAAAGGTTACATTTCTTCAACCATTTTTTCAAAAAGATCATTGAACCTATCCAATTTTGCCATTTTCTCCTTGTGTCTCTTGGCAACTTGACTTTCTCTATTCCTTGTTTTCTTAGAGAATGAAGTTTCTTCGTTTTTGAAACTCAATTGTCCGCTATTTGTGTCACTTTCATCTTCATCATTAGTTGTCTTAGTAATCATAGCTTCATTACTGCTGGCCACTTGTTTCTTTAATTTGCAGTCCTCTAGTATCGCTGCAAGTTGCAGTAGGGGTATTTCAGGTTTCTTGTGCATAAAACCATGGATTTTATTGAAGAATTCCCAGTACCTTCTTTGCTTACCTGATGTGTTATTATGCAGCAGGACAGTTTTATAAGTTCTTTTCAAACTCTTCCACTTTGATTGTACTTGTCTGAAAGTTACTGCTGTTTTAAATTCTTCACCACATTTCTTAGCAATTATTTCCCACATACAATCTGTAACTGGAATAATCCAATAACGTCGATTGAATAATTGACATTCAGGCCTATGATGTATCATTTTCTGTTATTTTAACAGCAACGTTATGTTATCTGTCACTGTTTATTCTACACGTAAAAATAGAGACAGGTATAGATTTTGAGCTATAACACAACTGTTAAAATAACAGGAGAGGATACATCATAGGCCTGAATGTCTCTCGTCCATAACTTCCTTGATTCTTCAACCAATTCTTCAAGGGTTTTTTCCTCTGAAATTTGATTTTCTGCTTCAGCTTTATTTTTATATGCCTTCTACTATCTTCATTGTCCACCTCAATACTATTAAAATTCGGGTTTTCTTGATCTTCATCTTGAAGACTCCCACCAAATATTTCGCATATATTTCTGTTGAAAGAGATGTACATCAAATTGCCACCTAAAAATAAAAACCCCTATTCAGTAATATTTGAAAAAAAACTTCTGCGTAGGTACCTATTTCAAAAAACCTTCAAGAGTTTAAGCAGATTCCATTTTTTTATTAAACAATAAACAATTGTTCCCAGATAAAAGAATCTAATGTGAAAAGCAACAAACAAAAACAAAAATACTACTTTTTTCTTGTATGAGCATTTTTTCATCACTAATAACGAGATTATCCCCATCACAAACCGGAACATGTGTTTTTGCTGATATTATGAGAAGCGATGCCATTTTTTCTACCTGGGGCCCCAGGAGACAACCAAGCCCTAAGCAAAAAATATCTTCCTTGAATTTTTCAGGTTAAGATGGTTAGAATAGTGAAAACTTAAATTTTACCGCTTTTTGGAAATATAGGAAGTGCGCATGCCCGCTCCTCGAGCTTCATCTCGCGAGGTGGTGCTTGTGGTGTTAACTCTTTTCACTCTACTTGGTTGTACCAGAATGATAAGGAGCTTGCAGTGCTTGCACTATTTGCTCCTAGTGGCCTGACACGAACGATTTTGGAGTGAAAAGTGTCAAAAAAGTTGCCAAGCCGAACTCACCAATAGTGTCAACTGATTCTGATTGAAGTTGTCAAAAAGTTGATGTTTGTTCAATTTTTGTAACAAGAACTTTACTGGTTTGGGAATGCACCAAACTTTGTGCGAACAACCGAAATGAATGATGAAAGCATATTGATATGGGACTTGGTATAGACATGACTACCCTATGCAAAATAAAATTTGAGTAAACTTCATTCAGACATATAAGAAACTTATTTGCATATTATTTCTATTTATTGGCCATAAACAGGAGCCGAAACCCAACAGTAAGTAGTTAGGGGGCGGGTGGCTTATACTAGCCCAATGCTCTACCTAATAATTTAAAATTAGGAACCCACTTTTCAACTTGAACTAAATCCAAATTTATTGCAAAGTTAGTTTTTAAAAATTATAATAAATATTACTACTTGCTACTATGAGCCTGAATCTGGCATGTGATGATGGACTCTCATTGGTCGTATATGTGGAGGAAACTGGACATAGGTATTTGTTGATTGTGAAGTTCCAACCAATAATCGGCCTATTTATCTAACTGATGTTGACCGTTTGGCTTGTACCACACCAAGTGAAAAAATTATCATTCAAATTAAAGGAAAGTTCTGCAAAAGGGTAACAAGGCCTAGGGTCATTACTGTGAATCAGGTAGGAGCGGCCTAGTTATTATTCAATTTTATGCTATTTACCGTCGAAATTTCATGGAAGATTTAATGACCTTGCCTTATTCTAAGGTAGGTACTCAAAGTTACGTTTGTCATTATGTTTTTATAAGATACTGACATGGTGCCATCTGTGATGTGTGATGTCAATAGTGAATAAACAAAACGTTTCGTTAGTTATTGTGTCAACACAATTCCTTATTAGATGTGGTTCTTCTGATATCTTCTGTATATAGTTTTTGTTACCTACCAGTATTATTTATTATCATATCGTATGCAAGAGTGGACTCACTGGAAAGCAACTTTTAACAATTTCATATAATTCGTTGATAAGCTAGAAAATGATGGAAAACTGAAACTCTTGGTGACCTAAGCCAGAACAATTATGAGCACATATCCTGCTGTTCTTCTTACTTAGACGCTATTAAGATTTTGGATTTAATTTTCATTAAACCTAAAAATGAAATATTTGCCAGACACTGCCGCCGTACCTCCAGGAAGCAGCAACCTGGAGAGACTGTTGATTAGTACTTACACTTACACTGAAGAAAGTCAAAACGACTTTATTAGAGATTCTTTCATTAGTGGCTTAAGCTCTTCCTAAATTTGACAACGATTATTGGAGAATATCACTTCGAAACTTGATGAAGCCAAGAATCAAACTCTATGTCTAGAATCGGCACAAAAACATTCAGAAGCATACCTATAGCATCTCTCAAGGTGTAATTAACTCAATTCAATCTGAAAGTAGAGAAACACATGAAGAAGACCTCATCTCCGCTGTTACGAAAGTGTACAACTGTTATTTCTGTGGAAGTACTAAGGGCCAATACTTTTGACATCTCGTTAAATTTAACAAGGTTTTGCATGGGCAAGGTCTGTAATTATGATCTGGTTAGAGCACATTCAAACCCCTGATTATTTTTTACCGCTGTCAAATTCGAAAACTGATAACAAAAGTACCGGCACCAAAAGACATTTTCGCACGTGCCTTGCTAAAGTAAAGATTCAACGTGTACTGAATGCGGTAAATGTGGACATTTCTCCAAGGTATGTCTAAGCAAAAGAAAAGTCAAAACTTCTGCCTCAATTATACCTGCTTCTGGGCACCTGGAAGTTTAACCAAATGCCTTATCAAAATTAAATTAAACAATGTCGTTGCTGATGCTTTAGTAGATACAGGAAGTTATGAAACATACATTAATAAAACTTTTGCCTCATTAATCGATGTACGTATACATTCAAGCATTGGATATATAGTAATTGCCACAACAGCCTTACAGTCTCAAATATCCGGTCATTGCTTCGTAGACTTACAAATAATGGGGAATACATACAGAAAATTACATTTATCAGTTCTTTCTGATTTATGTGCTGATGTCATTATAGGTCATGATTTCTTAGACAGCATTCAACCCTTGAAGTATATTTTGGAGGTTCCAAGCCTCCCTTGTATATTGACAACTTATCATCGATTTGTAGTTTGGCGTTCCTAAAAATTGATTCACCTACATTATTTTCAAATCTATCAGCAGACTGCAGGCCAATTGCAACAAAGTCTAGAAGATTTTCACCAGAAGATGGACACTTTATTTTTATTGAAATAAGAAACCTTCTTTTAAATACAATCATAGAAGAAAGCAACTCTCCTTGGCGGGTACAGGTGTTGGTAACGAAAAATGAAACGCACAAGAAAAGGATGGTGATCGATTACTCTCAAACCATTAACAGGTTTACATATTTAGATGCTATCCTCTGCCCAATATTGAAGATATTGTTCGTTCTATGGCGAAATTCAAGATTTTCAGTACTATAGATTTACAAAGTGCGTATCACCAAGTTCCCATACGTGACGACGAAAAGCAGTATACTGCTTTTAAGGCAGATGGTAAATTATATCAGTTCCGAAGAATTCCTTTTGGTGTGACAAACGGAGTTGCGTGTTTTCAGCGGGTAATAGACTACATAATGAAATCAGAGAACTTGAAGGTGTCTATGGATATTTAGACGATATTATGATATGCGGTAGAAATCAAGCAGACCATGATAAAAATTTAAAAGAATTTTTGCTCGTTGTAAAAAAATACAATTTTATCATAAACGAAAAAAAAAGTTCTTACTCCCTAAAATCAATCAAACTCCTTGGATATCTAATCGAGAATAATGCCTTGAAACCTGATTCAGCTAGATTTGAACCTCTACGAAAACTACCTGCGCCTGAAGATTCTCAGTCTCTGAAAAGAGCTCTTGGGATGTTCGCCGATTACTCAAAGTGGATACCTATTGCTTTTCAGAGAAAATTTATCGATTGTGTCCGTAAATCTTTTCCGTTTTCAGAAATCTGTGTAAATGATTTCGAGAAGCTTAAATTGAATATTGCAAAATCAGCTGTTTCTTAAATCGAAGATAACATTTCATTTGTCGTTGAGACTGATGCTTCAGAATATTCCATTGCTGCCATTTTCAGTCAAGTAAGAAGGCTAGTTGCATTTTTTTCGAGAACACTAAATAAGTGTGAACAAGATCATTCATGAGTGAGAAAGAAGCTTATTCCATAGTCGAAACGATTAAAAAATCAGAAATTTTCTGATTAGTCGTCATTTTCAGCTGATAACTGATCAAAAATCTGTATCTTTTATGTTTGATACCAAACACAGTAGCAAAATAAAAAATAAAAAGATTTCAAGATGGCGGCTTGAACTATCATGTTACAGCTATGATATAGTATACAGAGCAGGATGAGAAAACGTGGTAGCTGATACATTTTCTCGAATATGTGGTTCAAATAGTCAGAAAAGTTTATTCGATTCATATCAAGCTTTGTGTCATCCTGGAATTACTAGAATGGTTCACTGGGTCAGATCTCGCAATATGCCCTACTCTGTAGAAGATATTCATATTATGTCAGCGTCTTGCCCAGTCTGTACAGAACTTAAACCTAAATTCATTAAAAATCAAGGGACACTCATTAAAGCAACTTCGGCTTTCGAAAGAATATCTCTGGACTTCACAGGCCCTCTTCCATCTGATTCAAGGAACAAATATATACTCACTTTCATCGACGAGTATTCTCATTCTCGCTTTCCATTCGCCTATCCATGCCAAGACATGACTTCTGAGACGGTGATTCGGTGTCTAAGTAACTTATTTTCCATTTTTGGAATGCGTAGATATATTCACACAGATCAAGGATCTTCATTTATGTCAATTATCTTCATTCAAATGGAATAGCTACAAGCAGATCGACACCCTATAATCCAGAAGGCAATGGTCAAACACAACGGTTTAATGGCATAATTTGGAAGACGATT